GAACACCTTCTTCAACTTCTTCTAACAGAAACCAGCCTATCCCCAATGACACTGCTTCCTCTACAGCCCTGGCAGGCCGTGATTCTTTTTGTTTTTCCCTCATCTTTTCTCTTTTACTTGACTACTTGCCCTAGAAGCATAATATGTATCATTTCCGGGTCACTCCTCTTTGTTTGATGACTTTAGCTCCTGATTCATAGTCACTGCTTCTTACACAGCCTGTGCTGCTTCAAGCCATTTCCAGTATTTACACAGATACAATCTAATCTCTCTTTTCTTGCTTCCTTACCTGTTGCTACCACCTGCACTATACCCTCTGGGATGATACTATTATCAAGGTCTGAGCTCTATGATTCCATTTTCAACCATCTTGCTTGCTGACTGCCCTGCCAGTCTTATTAGCACCAGGGCTCTTAATTCTTTGACCTCATCCAGACACAAAGTCTACTGGTCTTCCTTTGCTTTTGCCTGAACTGCACTTCTTCCATATTCTCATTAAATTTCCCTTCCAGTTATGATACTTTCATCCTCCACAAGAAGTGCTCCTTTGCATATACTGCTTACTTTATCTTACCTACTCTTTTGTTCCCCTCTCAGAAAAGCTCTGGCTCTGGCTAAGTGCTATTCTGCTATGATGGGGTTCACATACACTGACAAAAACACTTGAGGAAATACAGAAGGTCCCCGCCCCTTTTCCTGAAGCAGCCCACAGAAAACTCCGATGTTCCTTGATTCAGTTGGTCATAAAACATGAAAGCCCTACCCCTGAGGAAGGACCATTCTTATCCTCAAAGATACCTGAAGAATCTGAACAACGGTCCCTTGTTGAACTCTTCTCAGTTATTACCTTTATGTCAGTCCCATTTGTACTGTAACTGAAGTTCTTCATGCTTCTCTACTCTTCATCAAACAACATAAAAATACAAAGTGTTTCTTTGACTCTTTATATGTGAAGTTCCTTGAGCCACACAAGTTCATACTAAATGAGTTTATCTGCCTTTGTTATAGGAGTCTTTTGTTATAGGAGGTCACAACTATCAACCCAGTGATGGGCAAGGAAGGAAATATTTTTCATTTGTACCCCTGCACTGCTATCTGAACCCAGAGAAAGTTTATAATTTGGGGGAATTAGAACATTAAGGGGAATATAGCCTTCTTTTGGGCCCTGGATCCCAGAGTTAGTTTGTTGCTTTTCAAATTGAAAAGACTTGCCAAGATGTCCCACTACCACACTCAACCATCTGACTTATGCATTGCCTTTCTTTTCATTTTAATGAATGGACTACTTTGTTTCTGCTTTGGTCTTTATGCCTGGATTTCCCCCAAATTCATACCTTAAAATGTCATAATTCACAAGGGCTGTGATGTCAGGAGATTGAGTCTTTGCATGTTTATTAAGTCACATGGCTAGAGCCCTCTAAGAGAGAAGGAATACCTTTATGGAAGGAGTCTAAGACAGCTCTCTTCTTCCCTCTGCCATGTGTGCTTCTAGCACAACAGCAACCTATGAGCCAGGAGGCAGGCTCTGGACCTGCTGGGCCTTGATCTTGGGCACACCAGCCTCTAGAACTATTAGTGATAAATTTGTTTTGTTCATAAACCACCTAGGGTATGGGATTTCATTATAGCACTCCTGTGGACTAAATCACAGTGAAAGCAAAGTTCTTTGACATTATGCTACCCCTTTTCAAGAAAATCTGTCCGGGAATTCTCCTGTTCTTCTTCTAGGAATGAATTCTGCCTTTCCACTAGATCACTATCATCAAAATAAAAACCGGTGAAACTGTTTTAACTCCATAATTCTAACCTACTGTCATTACACATATGTGCTAAATTTATCACTACACCACCTCTTTGGACTCCCTCCAATGAAGCTTTTGCTTATGTCATTTCACTAAAATGGCTTCTGCTGCAATCACGAATGGCCTATAAATTGTAAGATCCAGTAGTGAATTCTTAGTCCTCATTTTTCTTCTTCTTTTAATTCATTTTAATGAAAAAAAATGAAACAGTTTCAGAACAGGTTAGTAGGATGGTTACAATAATTAATACATTGTATAGTGTTGTGTTCATAGTAGTTATCAGAGGACAAGACGCAGTCATGATATCCTGTCTAAAGCTCTACACCAAAAGTCCTCATTTTTCTTGAAGAGCAACATTTGAAAAGCTGACCACTCCCTCCTCTTTGAGATTTTATTCTCATGGTTTCTGGATATCACATTCACCTGTTTGATCTCTAATTCTTTGCCCACTCCTTAATGGTCTCCTTCTCTGGTTGTATCTTTTCTCCTAATTTCTAAATCTAGGGGTACTCCAGAAATATCAGACCTTCTTCACCTACATTCAATTCCTAACAGTCTCATGCAAGGAAGTTCCCAGATTCATAATCCCAAGTCAGATCTTTCCTCTGCACTCTGGAAACAACTGCCATGTTCTATTGTAACACTTACTGAGAATGCAAATTTGATCCAAAGAGATTAGAATTAGAAACCAGTTTGAGCAAAATGGTAACTTCAAATTGGATCTTACTTTTTTATGCTAAATTTGTTTCACGATAGTAATCTCTGTGTGGATGGATATCTTTTAGGAGCTGATATTTTAATTGTGTTTTATTTATGTATTTAGTTGGTGCTTTGAGTATTTTGTTCATTTCAACTTTTGAAATAAATTCAGGAGGTCCTGTGAAGTCTACAGTGATTGCATGCAAATTTTTGTATATATTTAACTTCTAGGGGAAAAAGGTCATTGTTCACATATTGAAAGGGACCTTAAAAACAGCTTAATAATATATTCTAATAATGAATAATAGGTAATCTTTTGAGCTGCACTAGCAAGCTACATAACTTGAAATGCTTATATAACAATCACCATGCTGAAATATATCTAGTTATGAAGAAAAAAAATCAGTTTTTTAAAAATAATATAATTTAGCCTTTAAATATTGCTGTCTGGGCATGATGGTGTGCTCCTGTGATCCTTATACTTGGGAGGTTGAGGTAGGAGGATCACGTTGAGTTCAAGGGCAATCTGGGATACATAGTGAGTCCAAGGCCAGCCTGAACTGCATAGCATGACCCTGTCTCAATAATAATAATAACAATAACAATAATAACAGTAATAATGTTTTTGTTCTGTTGGCTTTTCTTCTATTTTAATCTCTTAAAATATAACTCTATGTCTTTATTACAAAGATATTACATATTTATTGTAAAGAGAAATTGAACTCCAAATGACACCTAATCATTTATAAGCTCATTTTATGTTACTATTTTATAGTACACTCTTTGAGGGTTCCTTCATGTATGACAGCTATTCCTTTATAGAAAAACATTTACATAATATAAAAAATCCTCCTTTAGTTCTCTGCAAGTTTCAAGTATCATATAAAATATCAATTTAATTTCTAATATATGAAAAAGAGCTGAGAAAGAAGAAAAACAATTTACAATATAAATAAAATATTCACAAGATTGTTATTTATACACATCTAATTTTTTTTTTTACTTGCTTTGCTCTTAGTTTTCATAATGTCATACTCTTGGTTACTTACTTTCTAAATCTGGAATATTCTTCAGATCGCTAATCTGAAGTAGGGACAGACTGCTCCAGATAGCTATACTAAGAAGAGTAAATTGAAAGCAGGGGAGCTATAATATAGGGAGACTGACTTACAACACCATGAGGACATTTTACCTGGGAAAAAACACCACTTGCTTTGGTCATATTTTCATCACTGAAGTAAACTATTTGACACTTAGAACTTAAAGCAAGGGTGGATTCTCTTGGTTCACAATTTCATACGGTTCAGTCCATAGCTTCAAGGTAAGCATGACTTGGCAAGAGGCTGGTGATCTTAACACATAGCAGCCAGGAAAGAGATGGAGAAGGCCAGAGGGAAAGACATGCTCACTGCAATCGGGCCTTAGCTCCTGATAATCATTCATCATACATTCACGAGTAGATTAATCCACTAATGAGCATAACGACCCTGTGAGTGAATCTTCTTTCAAAATGTCACCTTAGAACATATGAAAGTTAGGGGGAAATTTTAGCTCTATATGATGGTAACAGCTTAGTCATTCCCTAAATCATGGCTTTATAATCATAGTAATGAGGCTGAGGAAACACTGGAAGAAAAATATAATTTTAGAAGAATTTTCTGATTAAGAAGCAACATAAGAAGTTAAATTAAAAAATTGAATTTCCAGTTACTAACAATATTTGGCTCTTTTGAATGATCTGTTTTCAAAGGGCTACGCCTTGAGCACTATCGTTAAAATATTGGCTTCTCTATTGTGAAGTTCTATACAAACGAGTCTTTAAGATCAGATAGGAATATGTGTTAATCAAAAGGAGACTGAAGTACTAATCACAATGTTACTTTTTCTGTTTTCTTAATTAATATAGAGACCTAAATGAGAGATTTATATGCAGATAAAAAGGAAGTAAAGGCTCTTATTAGGGTAAGGTCATAACGGTACAAAAAACTATGTATTCAACATGAGGGGACTAAAACAGAGCCTATGAAAGTAAGTGCCTGGTTGCCTCCTTGTCAACTTTGACCTAAGCTAATATTTTAATCAAATAGAATGAGGCCTAGACCTCATATAGACAACTCCCCCCACCAAAAGCTTCTGTCTCAGTCTTGTGTGACTGCCTGATTTTAGATAAGATGTTGAAAAGACAACTGAATCCCTGAACTCTTTTCTTTCATATGGAACTCATAAGTAGTAACAGAAATGTAGAATTAGAAATTCATTTGATAAAGGAAGGCTGATGAACCATGCTTGAAATTCAGACAATTTTCCCTCTATGCACATATAAGTACATTGCATTCTTGTTGAGCTAAATTCTTCTAGATGCTTCCTATGACCACGGAGAGAAAAGGAGGAACAGCATTGCCATAACTAGTAGGACAAGATGGTTCCATCCATACCTTGCTGAAAATTAGTTGAACAATTCTCATTTGCTAAAATTACTATAATTTAAAGAAAAATTACCTTTAAGGCTGTTTTGAACTTCTAAAGCTATATCGAGAGCATTAAAGGGCAGAACTGGTTCGTTGGCAATTTGCAAAATCACTTCTCCTGAGAGCTGAAAGAAAAAAGCAAAAAAAATTACTAGCATCTGGTAATAAAGAGTCCTTGCTTGCTTTTTAGTGTTTCATATACCTTTTCCAACCACAGTAGTAAAAACATGGAGGAAGAAGGCTAATTTCATAAAAGGTTTTTTTTGCTATTAAACCTCTTGTTATTTTATTTTTCTATAAAGAAAAAAAGGTTCCATTATTTTTTCATGTCACAGAACAGTACAAAGAAATGTAAATTTTTTAGCTAGAATAGTAAGAAATATCTTTCATTACTGAATGAGTTTAGTAGAATTCAGATCAATTCATGATACGTGACACGGCACTTCATAACATGATCAAACAAGTGTGAGGAACACCAAAAATTGATGTCTGGTAATTGGATGAAGTAACATTTTAGACAAAATTAATGACTAATTTATGTCATTTAAAATATTATTTAACCTAAATATTAATGATTTAGGTACTAAAATACTTTCCTATTCATTTTTCAAAAACTTATCAAAATTAGTAGCAATATGTCTTTGGAATCCCTATTTAAATTAAATTCTACAAAATCTTAAAACAGCATCCCCAAAGCCCACATTTACAATATTCATTCATGCAAACCCCCACTATCCCTCTCAAAAACTACTTGAAAATCAATGTATGTCTTCATCTGAACTAGTGTCTGCTTAATTGATGCAACAAATCATACGCACTCATACGCATTGCAGAGGATCTCAAGTCTGGCAGCCAATCAACTATCCCTCTCTCATAGACATATTTAATATTTACCTGATCTTAGCAAATACGCCCATGTCTCTTATAGCCTGTATCTAGCACACAGGGAAATGTGGCTGTGTTGATATTATTCATGTAATATAAAATGTGATTAGTGAATGAAAGCATTACCCAAGCAACTACACAAGGAAATCAGGGAGCTAACTTGAGACAGTACAGACGTGTAAAAACATAACATTCAAGGAAAACATGATTTTTAAATATTCAAATGCATGTATACAGAAGAAACAAATTCCATTTAATATTGAAATTGTGTTTCCCAACTGTTTGCCCTATTCCTATAAGGAAAAAAGCACAGTTCAACTTGCTCTTCTTTCACGTGCTTGGGATTTCTTTTTTTTTTCCACAAAGAACAAAAAGAATGACCCTGATGCCATTTTATTCCTTTGGAATATTTTCCTTGGAAATGTAGCAACAAATTCTTCCCCAGTGCTGCCAGTCTCTTTGCAGTTTTATTCCCGATTTAGTGGGCATAAATATCCTGAGAAAATGCCTGCTCTGACCATGCTGTGTTTCAGAAAAAGGGGATCATCTGCCGTAACTTGATATAGATCCTCTTTCTGCTGAACCACACTGTCCAAATCATGCAAGGAATACTGATATTTGGACATAAGTTATTTGTAAAAAGGAAATTTTAAAGAAGATTAAGAAGCGTATGGTTCCTTTTCTTCCAATTTGCGCTGGATAATGGAAACTGCCGAACAGACATGTTTTGTTGACACTTTTGGAATCTGGAAGCCACACATTACAAAAGATTAAAATGAAAGCAGGGGAGGGAGGGCAAAGGGACTTTTTGTACTGCTGGAGAAGGTTGTTTTGTTCTTCCTTTTCATCCCTTTTTAAGAGTCATTTGGCAGCTTCAGCATCTGGAATATAAGCCAATCACCTTGCTATTTCCTTCAAAAAGAACCTCGCATAAAGAGTTGTACTTTCAAGGCACCTGGCTCATGAGGGGATGCTCTGCCTAAATTGGCTATATTTGTAGCTTTATAAACAAGAAGGAAATCGGTGTTCCCCTAGCTATTTTATGAACAAAGATGAGCCCCACTGCATGACTTACCTAATCTGGAACAGTTTTCCTCAGGCATTCTAGAGTGACCATTCCTTACTTTACAATGTAGCCTTATTCTTTTCAAAGTGCATTACATTAACATAACAAATTTCATTATACTGACCATTATGGTGTCTGCCATGGAGCAATTAATAAACTATGGTTAAAGCATGAAGAATGAACTTCTCTAAGTATTAAAATATTAGTAAAACTAAATTAGCAAAAATCAAAATTTATTGAATCCCTTTCAGTTATGAGATGCTATTCAGAAAATTTTAAACATCATTCCCTTTTAATCCCACCATATGCCACCACGCCCAGTCTTGTAACAATTCTTAATTAAACATTCACCATGTTTTTATCAGACTGAATATTCCTAAATAATGGAAGTCAGTTGGTTTTTCAGTTCAACAAGTCAGACATTATGCCCCTAATGAAACTGAGGCTCACAAAGATTGGTTAATTTGCTTGAGACACATGGCTGAGCCTTACTGACTCCAAGTTCTGCACTTTCTGTGGTTGTTGTAATGTGAAGTTCACAAGGGGTGATCAAAGTGTGAGGTAAACATGTAAATTTTAAAATATGGTAAGAATGGAAGACACACCACCATTAATCCTCCTCCTTGCTTTAAATACAGGACATCATTCCTGTCCATTTTCTGAACAGTTCTGGAGGTTGTTTTCCTGGGTGTCTTTCATAAGTGAGATTTTTAAAAAAGCACAATTTAACAGAAAGACAGACTTATGAAAACATTACAGTGTGCTTTCATCCATCTAACTCGCAGGATCCAGCACCATGGAACTTCTGGTTCCTTCTGAAAGTCAAAATGACCATGAAAGGGAAGACTTTGAATCAGTTCAGGATAGCAAGGCAGCTACAGCAGCACAATTTAAGACAAAGAGGACTTCCAGAACTACTTCAGAAAATGGCAGAAATTGAGATAAATAGGTTGGAAACAGGGGGATTATTTTGATTAATGAGGAGAATGGCAGTGTGATTTTTATTGCAATCGTTTTTATATTTTATTTTATTTCATTTTTTGTATTTAGTTCAGGGTCTCACTATGTAGATTGGACTTGTAGTGATCCTCCTGTTTACAGCCTCCCAAGCACTGGGATTATAGGCACATGCCACCACACCCAGTCTTGTAATAGTTTTTAATTAAACATTCACCATATTTTTTTCATGCGCCATATTTTTATCAGACTATTCCTGAATAATGGAAGTCAGTGGGTTTTTATGAAGAACTAAAGCTAGACTTCAAATCCTTTATTCTTTATCCTACATTACAGTATTTTCAGATTTTAAAAATCTATGTTCCTTGAAATACTTACCAGTAACTGTAGCAGCTAATCTCAGTGTCTAAACGGTTATGATGTTTACTTAGATACTCATATAGCAATGTTGGAAATTTTCTTCTAATACTTATGTGGAAAACTAGATCCCCATTTTATATGCTGATGGTGTTTGGAGAAGACGCCTTTGCCAAGTAATTAGGATTAGATTAGACCACAGACTGCTGTGAAGGAATTAGTAATATAAATAGAAGAAAAGACTCAAGCCTGCTTGCTCTTGGGCTGTCCCTTACCAGGCAGCAACCTTTCCTGTGCTGTGACTCAGCAGGAAGGCCTTTACCATGAGCTGTATTCACATGGTACTTTTACTCTTTAAGACCATGAGTTGATTAAGCTTCTATTGTCATAAACTATTCAGCCTAAACTAGTTGTTACAACACCATAAGATGGTCAAAGATAGAGCATCACACGATATTAGCAGAATCTCATGCATCATCTGTGTAATTCCATTACAAACCTACAAGGTGCTTCAGGATCCTTGCATGTGGGAGGCACAATAACTCCAGGCCTCCAATACTATTGCAAGTGAGTCTTTCCTAAATCCTGTGAAACTGCCACATCATGACTCTGTGCTACGTATCCCTTAATGGTCACCTGAGTGCCTCTGACCTATAAAATTCTCTTGGCTGCATCAACGTCATTAGTGACGCTAACTTCCTCTTCCCCTACCTCTGCTGAGCTAAGCTCCTAATTCTTCTTACCCCACCTATTTCCCATAAGTCTCCTGCTATGCCCCAGAGGTGGGACTTCCTGTCATAGCCCGGTTGCCTAGTTACTCATGCCTTTTACCCACCGACGTCATTTCCCTATGCCTCCACTATATATACCCAGAGTTTCCTTTGAATAAACAAGACTTGATCAGAATCCTGTCTTGTCTCTATTTCTCACGTCTCCTGTCCTTTGTCCCCCTCCCTAATTCCCCGCTCCTCTCCCAGGTGACCTTCGTTGACTGACCCACTGGCTCGAGACACTTGTATCCTCTTTTCTCCACTCCTAAAAGACAGTCTTACCCATGTCGAGAAGATAAGCACAATATAAAGATTATTTTTCACCCAATTCACAATAACTAAGCTATAAGCACAGCCTAGTTTCCTGGCAGCAGATGAATGTATAAAGAAAATGTGTATATACACAATTGAGTATTATTCAGGCTCAAACAAAAATGAAGTCATGCAACTTGCAGTAAAATAGATGGAACTGAAGTTTATCATGTTAAGTCAAATAAGCCAGGCTCGCTCAAGGACTGCAGATTCCCTTGCTACGTGGAGTCCAGATGAGGAAATATAGATGAGGCCACAGAAGCAGAAGGGAAAGCACTAAAGAGGATGAAGACAATCGGGGAGAATGACAGAGAGGGCAAGGAGTGGTGTGCAGCGGGAAGGATCAAGAGCATGGAAGAATTTGCCAAAATGAAATCCTTTGTCCTTCTCTGTTGTGAAATCCTTTATTCTGTATAAATAATATGCACTAGTAAAAAATCTGATTAAAAATATAAATTGAAACTATACATAGAATATGCAAAATGCTTTTGTCTCTCACTAAATAACAGAAATGTCCCTAGAGTTAGTGATTCCATTAATATTACACAACACTGGATTATAGAAAGACAAAAACTATATAGTCATCTTCTAGGTTTTCCAGTCAACAAAGTCAAACTATAGTTACCCTATATAAAACATTTCTTCCTTCATTTTTTTAAAATGTACCAGGGATTGAACTCAGGACCCTGTACTTGCCAGGCAAGTCTTATTCTACTGAGTTATCTTCCCAGCCCAACATTTTTTCCTTCACTGTGAAATAATTTGATCTTGCTTAAGG